ACAACTCCATCACCAACAACTCCATCACCAACAACTCTTCCTTCAACAACACCATCACCAACAACACTCCATCACCACAACTCTTAACTCTTCCTTCAACAACTCCATCACCAACAACTCCATCACCAACAACTCCATCACCAACAACTCTTCCTTCAACAACTCCATCACCAACAACTCTTCTTACAACAACTCCATCACCAACAACTCGTCCTTCAACAACTCCATCACCAACAACTCTTCCTTCAACAACTCCATCACCAACAACTCCATCACCAACAACTCTTCCTTCAACAACTCCATCACCAACAACTCCATCACCAACAACTCTTCCTACAACAACTCTTCCTTCAACAACTCCATCACCAACAACTCTTCCTTCAACAACTCCATCACCAACAACTCTTCCTACAACAACTCTTCCTTCAACAACTCCATCACCAACAACTCTTCTTACAACAACTCCATCACCAACAACTCGTCCTTCAACAACTCCATCACCAACAACTCTTCCTACAACAACTCCATCACCAACAACTCTTCTTACAACAACTCCATCACCAACAACTCTTCCTTCAACAACTCCATCACCAACAACTCTTCCTTCAACAACTCCATCACCAACAACTCTTCCTACAACAACTCCATCACCAACAACTCTTCCTACAACAACTCCATCACCAACAACTCTTCTTACAACAACTCCATCACCAACAACTCGATCACCAACAAGTAAGACTTAAAGGACAGTATTTTATAAAACAAAAAACAAATGATAATATTATTTACAAGTGAGACATCAACTGTATTTTTTTTCTTTCAAATGCTCTCCCTGCAGCTCCTCCTATTCTCTTTGAATACATCATCTTGGCTGAGTTGAGCACCACAGATGTCACTCTAATAAATCAACTGAGTACCATTCTGAGAAGCATCCGTTACCCCTTTATCCTCAACAACGCACAAATCCTTGATGTAAACATTTCTACAGGTGCGGATACAATACTGTAAATATGTGAAATATGTGTTGGTGTTGTCAACCCTAAGTGTGAATCTACAAGTTGTAAAACACACTTTACTAATATGACAGTTAGAAAAACTCATTACATGTGTGAAATTCATTGTGTTTTTGTTTGGTCTCAAGTTTGTTCTCCGAGCAGTTCTGGTTACCAGTGCAGATGTGAGGATCAGTATCGTTGGTCATGTGACCAGTGTTTACAGTATACATCCTGTGACAACATCACTGGGGACACATGTGGATGCATCAATGCCATTCCTCCTGATGGACAATACTGCCAGCCTTCTGGTCAAAACAGTAAGTTGGTCCGCAGTAATCACTGCATCCTGACCAGCATTTGATGTGACTTATTGTCCAAATCTTTATCCTTAATTGCATGACAATCCCTGTGTCTCACTATGTAATTGCTTGCTTTTGGGTTGTCGAAAGACAGGAGCTGGCCTGAGTCAGAAGGACAACTTTGGAAACACTGCCATATGTTGTAGAGAATCTATAATTGTATTTTATTGTTTTTAACTCAAATGCACGCAAAAAGGATTAGGGCCACTTATGATGACCAAAAGTGATGTTTTTGTTTGTGCCGGTAGTCCCAATTTTGATATTCAACTTTTTTTCTCAAACTAAAACGAAAATCACCTTTGGGTCACATTAATCGTACAGTATGGGGAATTTCAAACATTCTGATGGCTCTAGTTCTTAAAATATGCATCTTATCATATGCAGAAGCAATTAACTAAGAACTCCTCTCTCTTTGACTTCTTACAGCCTTTACCCTTTGTCGTCTTACAACAACTCCATCACCAACAACTCTTCCTTCAACATCTCCATCACCGACAACTCTTCCTTCAACAACTCCATCACCAACAACTCTTCTTACAACAACTCCATCACCAACAACTCTTCTTACAAACAACTCCATCACCAACAACTCTTCTTACAACAACTCCATCACCAACAACTCTTCTTACAACAACTCCATCACCAACAACTCTTCTTACAACAACTCCATCACCAACAACTCTTCCTACAACAACTCCATCACCAACAACTCTTCCTTCAACAACTCCATCACCAACAACTCCATCACCAACAACTCTTCCTTCAACAACTCCATCACCAACAACTCTTCTTACAACAACTCCATCACCAACAACTCTTCCTTCAACAACTCCATCACCAACAACTCTTCCTTCAACAACTCCATCAGCAACAACTCTTCCTTCAACAACTCCATCACCAACAACTCTTCCTTCAACATCTCCATCACCAACAACTCCATCACCAACAAGTAAGACTTAAAGGACAGTATTTTATAAAACAAAAACCAAATGATAATATTATTTACAAGTGAGACATCAACTGTATTTTTTTTTCCTTAAAATGCTCTCCCTGCAGCTCCTCCTATTCTCTTTGAATATATCATCTTGGCTGAGTTGAGCACCACAGATGTCACTCTAATAAATCAACTGAGTACCATTCTGAGAAGCATCCGTTACCCCTTTATCCTCAACAACGCACAAATCCTTGATGTAAACATTTCTACAGGTGCAGATACAATAATGTATATATGTGAAATATGTGTTGGTGTTGTCAACCCTAAGTGTGAATCTACAAGTTGTAAAACACACTTTACTAATATGACAGTTAGAAAAAACTCATTACATGTGTGAAATTCATTGTGTTTTTGTTTGGTCTCAAGTTTGCTCTCCGAGCAGTTCTGGTTACCAGTGCAGATGTGAGGATCAGTATCGTTGGTCATGTGACCAGTGTTTACTGTATACATCCTGTGACAACATCACTGGGGACACATGTGGATGCATCAATGCCATTCCTCCTGAAGGACAATACTGCCAGCCTTCTGGTCAAAACAGTAAGTTGGTCCGCAGTAATCACTGCATTCTGGCCAGCATTTGATGTGCCTTATTGTCAAAATCTTTATCCTTAATTGCATGACAATCCCTGTGTCTCACTATGTAATTGCTTGCTTTTGGGTTGTCGAAAGACAGGAGCTTGCCTGAGTTAGAAGGACAACTTTGGAAACACTGCCATATGTTGTAGAGAATCTATAATTGTATTTTATTGTTTTTAACTCAAATGTACGTAAAAAGGATTAGGGCCACTTATGATGACCAAAAGTGATGTTTTTGTTTGTGCCGGTAGTCCCAATTTTGATATTCAACTTTTTTTCTCAAACTAAAACGAAAATCACCTTTGGGTCACATTAATGGTACAGTATGGGGAATTTCAAACATTCTGATGGCTCTAGTTTTTAAAATATGCATCTTATCATATGCAGAAGCAATGAACTAAGTACTCCTCTCTCTTTGACTTCTTACAGCCTTTACCCTTTGTCCTCTTACAACAACTCCATCACCAACAACTCTTCCTTCAACAACTCCATCACCAACAACACTTCTTACAACAACTCCATCACCAACAACTCTTCCTTCAAAAACTCCATCACCAACAACTCTTCCTACAACAACTCCATCACCAACAACTCTTCCTTTAACAACTCCATCACCAACAACTCTTCTTACAACAACTCCATCACCAACAACTCGTCCTTCAACAACTCCATCACCAACAACTCTTCCTTCAACAACTCCATCACCAACAACTCTTCCTACAACAACTCCATCACCAACAACTCTTCCTTCAACAACTCCATCACCAACAACTCTTCCTTCAACAACACCATCACCAACAACTCCATCACCAACAACTCTTCCTTCAACAACTCCATCACCAACAACTCTTCCTTCAACAACTCCATCACCAACAACTCTTCTTACAACAACTCCATCACCAACAACTCGTCCTTCAACAACTCCATCACCAACAACTCTTCCTTCAACAACTCCATCACCAACAACTCCATCACCAACAACTCTTCCTTCAACAACACCATCACCAACAACTCCATCACCAACAACTCTTCCTTCAACAACTCCATCACCAACAACTCCATCACCAACAACTCTTCCTTCAACAACTCCATCACCAACAACTCTTCTTACAACAACTCCATCACCAACAACTCGTCCTTCAACAACTCCATCACCAACAACTCTTCCTTCAACAACTCCATCACCAACAACTCTTCCTTCAACAACTCCATCACCAACAACTCCATCACCAACAACTCTTCCTACAACAACTCTTCCTTCAACAACTCCATCACCAACAACTCTTCCTTCAACAACTCCATCACCAACAACTCTTCCTACAACAACTCTTCCTTCAACAACTCCATCACCAACAACTCTTCTTACAACAACTCCATCACCAACAACTCGTCCTTCAACAACTCCATCACCAACAACTCTTCCTACAACAACTCCATCACCAACAACTCTTCTTACAACAACTCCATCACCAACAACTCTTCCTTCACAACTCCATCACCAACAACTCTTCCTTCAACAACTCCATCACCAAACAACTCTTCCGACAAACAACTCCATCAACCAACAACTCTTCCTACAACAACTCCATCACCAACAACTCTTCCTACAACACCTCCATCACCAACAACTCTTCTTACAACAACTCCATCACCAACAACTCTTCCTTCCAACAACTCCATCACCAACAACTCTTCCTTCAACAACTCCATCACCAACAACTCTTCCTACAACAACTCCATCACCAACAACTCTTCCTACAACAACTCCATCACCAACAACTCTTCCTACAACAACTCCATCACCAACAACTCCATCACCAACAACTCCATCACCAACAAGTAAGCACTTAAAGGACAGTATTTTATAAAACAAAAAAACAAATGATAATATTATTTACAAGTGAGACATCAACTGTATTTTTTTCTTTCAAATGCTCTCCCTGCAGCTCCTCTCTATTCTCTTTGAATACATCATCTTGGCTGAGTTTGAGCACCACAGATGTCCACTCTAATAAATCAACTGAGTACCATTCTGAGAAGCATCCGTTACCCACCCCTTTATCCTCAACAACGCACAATCCTTGATGTAAACATTTCTACAGGTGCGGATACAATACTGTAAATATGTGAAATATGTGTTGGTGTTGTCAACCCTAAGTGTGAATCTACAAGTTGTAAAACAACACTTTACTAATATGACAGTTAGAAAAACTCATTACATGTGTGAAATTCATTGTGTTTTTGTTTGGTCTCAAGTTTGTTCTCCGAGCAGTTCTGGTTACCAGTGCAGATGTGAGGATCAGTATCGTTGGTCATGTGACCAGTGTTTACAGTATACATCCTGTGACAACATCACTGGGGACACATGTGGATGCATCAATGCCATTCCTCCTGATGGACAATACTGCCAGCCTTCTGGTCAAAACAGTAAGTTGGTCCGCAGTAATCACTGCATCCTGACCAGCATTTGATGTGACTTATTGTCCAAATCTTTATCCTTAATTGCATGACAATCCCTGTGTCTCACTATGTAATTGCTTGCTTTTGGGTTGTCGAAAGACAGGAGCTGGCCTGAGTCAGAAGGACAACTTTGGAAACACTGCCATATGTTGTAGAGAATCTATAATTGTATTTTATTGTTTTTAACTCAAATGCACCAAAAAGGATTAGGGCCACTTATGATGACCAAAAGTGATGTTTTTGTTTGTGCCGGTAGTCCCAATTTTGATATTCAACTTTTTTCTCAAACTAAAACGAAAATCACCTTTGGGTCACATTAATCGTACAGTATGGGGAATTTCAAACATTCTGATGGCTCTAGTTCTTAAAATATGCATCTTATCATATGCAGAAGCAATTAACTAAGAACTCCTCTCTCTTTGACTTCTTACAGCCTTTACCCTTTGTCGTCTTACAACAACTCCATCACCAACAACTCTTCCTTCAACATCTCCATCACCGACAACTCTTCCTTCAACAACTCCATCACCAACAACTCTTCTTACAACAACTCCATCACCAACAACTCTTCTTACAACAACTCCATCACCAACAACCCTTCTTACAACAACTCCATCACCAACAACTCTTCTTACAACAACTCCATCACCAACAACTCTTCTTACAACAACTCCATCACCAACAACTCTTCCTACAACAACTCCATCACCAACAACTCTTCCTTCAACAACTCCATCACCAACAACTCCATCACCAACAACTCTTCCTTCAACAACTCCATCACCAACAACTCTTCTTACAACAACTCCATCACCAACAACTCTTCCTTCAACAACTCCATCACCAACAACTCTTCCTTCAACAACTCCATCACCAACAACTCTTCCTTCAACAACTCCATCACCAACAACTCTTCCTTCAACATCTCCATCACCAACAACTCCATCACCAACAAGTAAGACTTAAAGGACAGTATTTTATAAAACAAAAACCAAATGATAATATTATTTACAAGTGAGACATCAACTGTATTTTTTTTTCCTTAAAATGCTCTCCCTGCAGCTCCTCCTATTCTCTTTGAATATATCATCTTGGCTGAGTTGAGCACCACAGATGTCACTCTAATAATCAACTGAGTACCATTCTGAGAAGCATCCGTTACCCCTTTAATCCTCAACAACGCACAAATCCTTGATGTAAACATTCTACAGGTGCAGATACAATAATGTATATATGTGAAATATGTGTTGGTGTTGTCAACCCTAAGTGTGAATCTACAAGTTGTTAAAACACACTTTACTAATATGACAGTTAGAAAAACTCATACATGTGTGAAATTCATTGTGTTTTTGTTTGGTCTCAAGTTTGCTCTCCGAGCAGTTCTGGTTACCAGTGCAGATGTGAGGATCAGTATCGTTGGTCATGTGACCAGAGTGTTTACTGTATACATCCTGTGACAACATCACTGGGGACACATGTGGATGCATCAATGCCATTCCTCCTGAAGGACAATACTGCCAGCCTTCTGGTCAAAACAGTAAGTTGGTCCGCAGTAATCACTGCATTCTGGCCAGCATTTGATGTGCCTTAGTGTCAAAATCTTTATCCTTAATTGCATGACAATCCCTGTGTCTCACTATGTAATTGCTTGCTTTTGGGTTGTCGAAAGACAGGAGCTGGCCTGAGTCAGAAGGACAACTTTGGAAACACTGCCATATGTTGTAGAGAATATAATGTATTTTATTGTTTTTAACTCAAATGTACGTAAAAAGGATTAGG